ATCCTTCCAGCTTCTTGAAGTTTTTTCCGCCGATGGATTCATCACATACATATCCTTTGGGCAAGGTTGGGTTCCCTGGGCTCCCGGGAGCGTCACCGTCAACCTTGGTTTCAGGAGACCGAGTATGTACTTACAGACCCAGTACTCACCTCTTTATTTTTATTCTTCCGAGCTAGACTACTTAAGCGCGCCGTCTTTAGACTAGTTAGAGTCTAGAGACGGCGCGCCTTACCTACATCCTTCCACATCGGCATTCACTGAATATTCAAATCCCGAGCTCTAAAATGAATATGATCTGCACGAAATGACATCGGCATTGGTAGTACGGAAAGATCCAAGACCCACTTCACCTCCAGCTAGCCACTAACCAATCGACATAAATATGTATGTATGTATGTATGTACTATGTATGTAGACCAAGTGAGCTACTTGCTCAATTTCTCGGCACCCCGCGACTCCGAGCTCGTATGTAAGTAACAGCCAGACGACTTGGAAGAAGGGTATATATCATGATGTACTTACGTAGTACCATGTGCGCATTTGCACAAATCCACAGCGGCCAGATCCCCCGAGTCTGCGAAAATCATTCATGCTCTCTGACTTTGATTCAAGTAAGTTCTGACATCTCTTATTATTTATTGTTCCGATGTGACGTGAAAAAAACTCTTCTTCTGCGCTTCTTCGATCCGATCCGGTCCATACATACACAGCTATGTAGACAGGCAGGCAGAGTCCAGACAGACAGACGCTCTCGACAATCTTTTTAGATCGAGAGTCGAATCCCGTGGATGGTGGATCAAAACTCGAGCTCCAGTTCAAGCTCGGGCTTCCAAACCTAAACGATTCGAAATTGGTGGCGCTGCCAGTGCATAGACAGAATACAACACAATATGTAGTTTGCACAGGTTTAGATTGAGATCTGCGGTGGCTGCTGTTTCTGTTTCTGTTTCTTCTTATGCTTCGACTGCTGTATACTTGGATAGATGCGCAGTTTTTATTATAGGATTTTATCTTTTTGGTTTTACATACTCGATCATGATGATGGTAAGTAAGTATTTAATATTAAGGCAGTATTGAGAAAAAAAGTGGATCTGCGCGTGTCAGTGCTGATCACAATACTTACGGTTAGGTTACCATGGCTAGTGTGGTACCAACTAACATAACTACTGGATCTAGCTGATCTTTATGCGCAGTAAGGGTATTGGTGGCAGGCAAAAGAGTCGAGTCACTGGCGCATTACACACTTACTTACTTACTTACTTACTTACTTACTGTGTAGTACCGCTTGACTTACCGCGACTCCGAGCCAGAGATACTGAGATGATTGACTTGGACAGGGTCGGCAATGACGATGTACACCTACTTACTTACCTAGGTCACGGTGATGGCGGATTGGGATTCGTAAATGCAAAAGAGTCATCTCCGAGTCTGGGGGAAGAGACGGAGGTGGCAGTGTAGAAATCGCAGGTAGGTAAGTAGAATGCGAGGTCCTCGGACGTCTATAGAAAGTAGTAGAGATGATTCACTCGGAGGGTAAACTTTGTAGTTATGCCTGGTCACCTTGAATGACTCGGAGGGGGCCTGGGAAGAGGGAAGAAGCGAAGGTAGATGTGGACACGACGTCCACGGATTTTGGCTTCCTACTAATACGAGTAATAATGACTCGGGAGTAGAAATTTCAATAAAGAAAGGAGACTCAAGTTCCTTACTACGTCTCGTACTCAGACTTTGAGAGTCTAATAAGAAATTAGTAAGGATGCCCGCCTACATAGTCGGGACTCTGTTCGCCTCCGTGTAACTTCCGTGTCCTATGTACAGCTCGGGATGAATTCATTGCCTCGGATCCGGATCAATTATAGGATGACAGTTAGGGGGTAGGGGGACCGTACCGTAGGCAAGTCGGAGGTAGGTAAGCAAATGAGTAAGCTTGAGTATGTACTGATTGGGGATAGGCAAAGGCGGGGACGGGGAACAAGGATTAGTATAGGACTGGAAGTGGCACATGGTCCTTGTACTAGCTAATATCAGGTTCAGATTTTGTACTTTTGACTCGGTGTCGAAAATATAAAGGCTTTTATATCAATAAGGCTCGTGAATACTTGTGGCTACGTTTGATTCAAAGGTTTTTATTGTTATATTGTTCGCCTGTAGAACAAAAATCATATGTACCAATTATGTACTGAATTCAAACATATGGCAAGTGCAGGGTCGAAAGAGACCTGACATCGTCGGTCTTCGGAGTCATGTACTGGTGGCTTATCACCCTGGATCTATCAGTCAGTGAGATGGTCTAGTCTAGAGTAGAGTAGTTGTACTTGGGGAAGAACGCTAACTTGATTGCTAGTCTATTATACTTGTGCTAAGGTGCAGGGGCTTGCTTGTTCTCGGCTCGGTTCCTCGACAGAGCTCGAACGCGCGGATGCCACGAGGACAAGGAGCTTGGAAGGACAACGAGTAAACAGACATCCTGTATGGGTGAAACCGAGCCCGAAGCGAAGTCGAGCCGGCGGATGGTGGTAACGCGACGGTATGGGTACACCGTCGCAGCCTGCCGCTACCCGACAAGAAAGGGTTGCTTAGTGGACGGAAGCTACAAGTGTGATCTGGCGTGATGGGAATGGTGATTGAGTGATGGATGATGGGAGCACGAGATTTTTATACATTTCTAGTACTTTTCGAGTTGATGTGTATGAAGATCGTGATGTCTTGTGATAGAGTAGCTGTTGTTGTCCGAGGCTCTTGCAGAGATTGTGAGGTTGTCGAGCGGTTACAGAATGGCTCCGGTGAGACTGCGGGATGAGGTTCGGACTCGAAGCGAGGCCGCCGGGATGGGACACAAGGTCGGAAGAAGAGCGTAGATAGTCATTGCGCGCCAGAGCTGTATGCACAGGAATTCACAGTGTCACAGTGACAGAGAAGCAGGATGCCGTGAGTGCAACGTGGGGAAAACGTGGTGGAGAATGGATAGTGTTGTTGTTGTACAAGCTAGGTTCCATATCTGTAGACATTTGTTCATCAAAGCTGGCTGAAAACAGAGACGCAAAAGCGGAAAGTGGAACAATGGCGTTCCTGACCGGATCAACGCGAGAAGCCGGCATTGACGGCATGTTCACATGGCTGGTGGAGAATATAAGGCACTTGGGTGCAGGTTCCGTTTTGACCGCCTCTGCCCACCAAGACCAACGACGACTGCCCAAACCATCAATCTCTTCATTTTCTTTTCTAATTTGTAGCATAGCACATAGACCTTATTCTCTAAAATGTCCATCCAAATATCCCCCTCTCCCATCGTCCTGTCGTCCCTCGACATTAATGCTCCCTCCCGTCCCAGAGCCTCATCGATGGCCCCCTACTCTTTCCCATCCCAGCCTCGCTCCCAAAAGAGCTGGCAGTCTGCTCCTCGTCGCGACCGTCGCAATACCCAGTCCCATGCCCAGTCCATGCGTTTGCCTCGTCATCACCAGCAGCAGCAGCAGCCTCCCAGGCCTGCGTCCTCCCTGGGTTTCTCTGCGCAGACTGGCATAGATTTGCTCGGTATGGGCGGTCCAGTCTACCAGCGCACCTCTCGTTTCGACCCCTTTGAAGACACCTCGGACATGTCCATTTCGACTCCGTCCTCTTCGTCGTCTTATACTCACTATTACTACTACGATCACACCACGAACAAGCCCACACTCGCTTTCGCAGATCCGCCTCGTCATGCATCTCATGCTCGTCCATCTCATCACGCATCTCATGCTCTCGATACCTCCCTTTCCGTGTCCTCCTTCCCTGCGCCTGGTCTAGCCCAGGGTTTGGGGCTCGGTTTGGCCCAACACTATCATACCAACGCACAAAGTCAATCTCAATCTTGTAACACTACCACCTTTGCAAATTCCAACTTCAATGTCAATACTACCACTCCTAATAATCTTATTAATCGTAACTTTATTCCCCCCCAATCTCGCTCGCTTTCTCGCTCCCCGTCTCCTCCATCTCCTTCCGCGCCTTCCTTTTACCCCACCTCTCCTCCTGGCGTCTCTAGAAACAGGAGCCCCTCTCCTCCCAACCACATCCAGAACCAGAACCCGGGGCCGAGGCACCGCAGCCCCTCTCCCCCTTCTCCTACCGGTTCTAGACCGGGCCACGTACGCAGAAGGTCGGGTGCAATGTCGATGGGAGCTGCCGGTGACGTCACTGTCCCTGTTACCCCAACGATCCAGGCCCCCGCACCAAAACCCAAGGCCGCTGCTCTAGTCTCTCAAGGTCCCGTTAATCCTCCTCTGGAGAGACCTCAGAGTGCGCCTCCTGTGCCTGCTCCTGTGTCCAAGCCGACAACTCCCCAACGTTCCATCCACTCTATCCTCTCTCGTCCCTTGCCCGCTTCTTCCCGTGATACTATTGCGGGTATTGTTGCGAGTATGCTTCTCAGTCGTGCTGATACGCCTTCTGTCAGGAGCAGGGGTAAATGTGGTGCCGGGGCAGGATATGTCAAGAGTGGCTTGAGCAGGGTTGTTTTCGTCGAGTGAATAGAATTGGGGATCTAAAAATGTGTATACAATCACCGCACCAACGTCTTTCTTTTCTTGTTCTTGTTTCTGGATTCTCTTTTGGCCGTCGTATCTCGGTTTGCTGTGTGTACATTTGTGTACTCTTTTGCCAATAATGCCCTCCTTTTCGGTTTTCTTTTTTTTATTCTCATACATAATGTAACTCTTACCAACAAGCTTGCATACCTCTTCTTTCTTTTTTATTGACGTCTCCTTTTTTTTCTTTCTTAATTATCAAAAATCTCTGCTTCGGTATCTTACCAAGAATGAACTCTTTTATACTTTATACATAGTGTACTTGTGTATGTATGTACTACTTGCAGCTACTTGAACTGTTATTTCTTTTTTCTTTTGGTGTATACTTGCAATTAAATAAATAAATGTCTACATATTAGATTCCTGTCCGAGTCCGAGTTGAAGATCTATCTATCTATACAAAGATAGAAGCTGCGAGCACGTACCCCGATAGTAGGTCTAATAGTGTAGTGGTTAGCACACGGGATTTTGATTGGTAAAATGGCACATCGGTTTCCCGTAACCCAGGTTCGAGTCCTGGTTAGACCTTTGTAAGTGTTGTGGGGTGTTCTTTTTTCCCTGTCACACGCACTCTCTGTTTTGCCTACTCATGGGCAGGCAGGGTGGACTGGACTGATCATCTTGCTCGATCGTGATCGGTTGATCAGGTCAGCCGTCAGCTGATGATAATGATGATAATTGCCAATTGCCAATTGGTCGGTGGAGCGGGCGGATGCAATCGGTACGAAATATTTAGTAATTTGGTATTTGCAAAACTTTGAACCGGTACTACCATTGCCAATGAACGAGGTAGGTAGGTAGGTAGGTAGGTTACACGGCTCCTCCGGGATGTTGAACTGAGGTATCTGGCATAGTGGTTGTGTCCTCTTGGAATTTTGATAGTCCAAGTAGACGTAGACGTCATCCAGGTTCAAGTCCTGGGTAGACCTCTTGACATGTCGAGCAGTGACGAAAATGTTTTTGCCTACATTTGTTCGTGATCAGTTGATCAGAGGATACAGCGGCAGGCTGATTTGATTTGATTTGATTTTGCAAAAAAAACCTTTCAAACAGAGGTCTACTTACCGTCCTGACGAACGAGGCAAGTAGAATTAGAATTAGATGTGTATCTGGTCTAATAGTGTAGTGGTTAGCACATGGGATTTTGATAACTCACCAATATACTCATTCCCATAACCCAGGTTCGAGTCCTGGTTAGACCTCTGCTGTGGTTCTATAGTTCTTTTTCTTTCCTAGAGTGGGAGTGAGGTATCGGTTAGACTTTGGTGATGTCAAAGCCTGATATATAGCTGTGTTTTCGGTGGTATAATGTGGCGCCACCGACCTTGTTTGATTTATTGCCTTTGTCAACAAGTAATATAATTAATAATAACTTAGAATGGGATTCATTGCAGAGTGTTCATTGATCTATGATTCTCTTCAGCTCCTTGTTTTGTCGCTCTGTTATACAGAAACTAGCGGATTTGAAGATATCACTATATTTCATGCTCAAAAGTATGATTTAACACACGGAAAACCTTTGCATACCCGCCGGGAGCTGATTTTCAAACTCTGAAATAAGTAGTCAGACTGAATTCAAATTTCTTTGGCACCGCGTGATTGGTAAATTTAGAAAATAATCTAGGTTTCTTAACCCACGAAAGCCATCCATTTGTCTCCGTCGCCCATCTAGAAAAAGGATTTAGGTCCCTCCTTCTAGATTGAGCGTTTAATCCTCAAACTCCGCTGACGGGGTCCTATTTACACTGTTAAGGATGTCAGCTAGACTTGCTAAATGGTTTGTTTATTCTGGGATTTGATTTAGAAAAAAGACCACGGGAAGTATTATCATTATTTGCAAATTTCATAACAGCGGTACTGTCAGCTGCCCCAAGCTTCCTTGTGAACAAGTAATCTGTACCAGTGTAGTGGTAATGACTAGCACATGGTATTTTGATGCACTGGCATATGGAGGGTAGGAATTCCCTTCCCATAACCCAGATTCTGGTCCCGGTTAGACTTTGGAGCTTGAAAAGTGCCAAACAGGATTTCTTTGATGGGATAGGGGTACCCAATCGTACTCGATTGAATTGATTGGATGGTGTTAAATCTGAAATTTTGATCTTGGCTCAATGATCCTGCTAGCATAAATTTGCATGGGATTGTAAAAAAAAGTTCACCTGGCGATGACAGCTCAGTAGAAGCAAACAGGCGGTACCCAATCCCCGCTGGGATTTTGATCCACATAGCAAAAGGTGTTGAGTCTAGATTCTGGCATCTCAGGTTGATCACAGCACGGCATTGGATTAGAGTTCATCGGCATAAAGTTGTTTTACGCGGCTTGAGGCCATTAAACTTTAAACTTTATGGCTTACGGCCTCGTATTTGCCACGTACTTCCTTTTCATTGTAATAAAACAGCTCCATCCCTCTACAACATGTATTGGCCTGATTTTTTTGACTAGAATTCATCTGACTTTGGGACCCAACCTACTATATAAAGTAGACTGATATGGATCTGAGCTCAGTAACTAGTCAAATTTCTCATTACAGATGATACAAACAGAGATTCATCCAGATAAATGGTAATCAGCATGATCATGGAACAGATCTTGACAGTTTTCACGAACCTGGCTTATTCATGTTCATGTGAAGCTCAGGTCCAGATTTGATGTATCTGATAAAATGTTCTTTGATTGCTCCCAGCCCGAGCTCACGTTGGACACAGTGATGAAGGTAGTAGGTGGATTTGATTTGAACAGTACTGACAGAAGCACTCATAAGCGCGCTTAGTAACAAATTCGAGTCGTATGCATGGATTCGTTCAAGTTCAAAAATGCTTTGAAGTGGATGTCTCCCTCCTTCATTACATTGACATATAATATAGCTGCATTTAGGGATGGTCAATATGGCTGCAGAAAGTGCTAGCCCCGCAGGATTGGCCACAGAAAGTCTTCCAGAAACCAGTTCAAGATCAACAAATAAATTCTGCAATCTGCCAGCTCAAAAGCCATAGAAATCGAATTTATTTGGGAGGAAACCCTTTTCCGTGATTTCTGCGTCAATTTTTCCATTTCTGCATTAAATGGGGTGGTCTGTTCCTGCGGCGTTTTCTACGCCTGATAGACCCTCCTGAATATTCATAAGCCCACTAAGCATAAAACAAACACTGACTTTCTCATGGCACTAACCCATTTTCCTATTGAGAACCTTAGTGCTTTCAGAAAACTTAGGTAAATGAACTGTCGAAGCGCCACAGGATTTGAGTCATTTGAACCTTTGATAAATCATTTGTGCCATGCGTAGCCCAACTTAAGAGGTCATCCCGGGTTTAAAACTCCCGACCGAAAAAAATTGAGATCGATCATGATAATGGAGTGAATAATTACGTATGCTAGACGATGCATGCTTACTAGGAAAATCAAAGGAGGCCCTGTCCGTCGCCGTGTCTTTTTAAAGCCACCGATGGTAATGACCATGAAGGCCGTTATTAGTGAGCTTATGGATACACCACGACCGGGATATCCCTAAAGCCGCCAGGCCCTCAACATGGTTAGAATGAGAACCAGTTACTGCTTCTGTTTGAGGCCTCGGATCTGTTATTCCCAGCATCTGAGGTCACACCGCGCTTGCCACTGATACTCTCAGACTGAAATAAGTGTAAACAATCAATGTCAGGACGACAATTTCCTAGTGATAATGGCAGATACTTTTCGCACTGCAATCTGTCTATCTGTCCTCTGAACCTGCATGATCATTCCATAAATCCCATACATCTCGACAAGCGCATTGAGTATCTATGTATTGACTCTGATCGCGGGCCTCCCGCCTAAAGACATTACCGCGACTATAGTCTCTAAAATTTCAAACGTATCTGCCTAAACGATTGTTACCTGGCGTTAGGCTCAGAACCTAACGGGCACCGCCCGCCATCCAAGTTGCACTTTCATCATTATTTTGTTGTTATCGATGACGTGGCAGAGGAACAGTATAGCTGCCCGGATACGTTGAAAGTAGAAGGAAATGGTATGGTGTAGGTAGACAATCAATTAGTTGAACCTGCCAGAGTCTGAAAGTGTCATGGATTGTCAAAATCCTCCCTGCATGCGTGTTGAATGAATCTTCTATTCAGGAAACAAACTGATTTGACGCAACTGGTTATGGAGTGAGCGGGTGAGCCCATTGCGAAAGAACCGTAGCACAATTTAGATGCGCCACTGAAAAGATGAAAGAATGACAGAGCAACTTGAATGCGTTGTCTATGTATGTAGTGAAAGCAAAAATACCAAAGTGAATAAAGACTAATGCTCACCTATACAGTATAGTGCAGATCGTAGAAGTCTTTTTCTTTACTGCAGGTAGGATCTTCTTTCATTGACGCAGCGTGGAAGTCATAGTAAAGATGTATTGTTCGAATTTAGGTATAATGTGAAAAAGCGTAGCGAAAAATGCTACCACCAGTTTCAGCGGTCCCTTCAAGTTTGGGGCGTAAGAATGAACCCTTCAAGTGCCTACATCTCACAAAGAAATCGGTCAATTTCTTATTCACCGCAATAATGAATGACTAACTTCAGATACATAATCAGCCACCGTAGACTTCTTAGGTTCACCCACGGTATAATGTATCACCGCCGCGACTTATGAGTAAAGGAAGTAGAAGCACTATTTATTACATGGAAAATGGGGAATTACCCATACACCTAAGGTGGTTTAAACTAGTGTTTCATTGACTAACCTAAGCCAGAGGTTCGAACTTCTGATTGCTATCTAGCCCCGACTCAAATGTGCAAGTACTCAATTCCGGCATTCTAATATTTCGTAGAGCCACTGGCACGTACTTCTCATGTATATATCATTATTTCTGTCGGGGAGATCTTCCGACATACATACATCTTGATTCGAGAAAAATCCGCAGTAGAACAGAGCACCTGTTCTTACTTTCCTTTCGATTCCCAGATAACCGGCCTATAAAAACTAACCGGATACTCAAAGACGAAGGTTTCTTTGTAGCAACATGACATTATGGCCCGGATCGACCCATTTGATGTAGAGTAGATGTAAGGTAAGTAAATAATTATGACTCACGAGCTACTGCTCTGAGCCTCTATCGAATTGTAAAGCTGTTGGAAATCTATGAATCAGGTAGTACAAGTGGCTTAAGCTAAGTTTGTAAGTGATGAATCAATATTTATACGGAAAGAAGCGAGATTATACATTTATCTGTATTCATGCCCGCAATCTCCAAGCTTCTCGTACATAGTCTCCGTGCGAGCTCCCAAGGCTATGAGCTCCAGTTGCCGGTTATCTGTTTCATCCAGCTTGAACGAGAAAACCTTCAAGTTTGACTCGGAATTGTTGGATACGCCGAGACGAGTGCCGACAATCACAGAACCGACCTCAGGATTATCTAATACCCAACGAGCGGCTACGTTGGATATTTCCACTTGATGCTTGTCCGCTATAGATTTGAGGCTGCGAAGAAGGTTCTGAAACTCGGGCCAAGTTCCCCAATTCAGGATCATGTCAAAGTACTAAACATAAGGATATCAGAATACATGAATGACTCCGGGGCTCTAAAATAGCACTAACCTTTCTTTGTGAAGGTGTCAGTTGCTCAGCCTCGGAATAAATATCTGGGGCATTCCGTCCTAGCCATTTGTCAGAGAGAAATCCTCCACACTTATCAGAAAGGGTTAGTAAGTCGTCGGTGATGCGGGCAATGGAGGAGGCACAGCACTCACGAATGAACCATACGTCAGAAGCTTTATTCCGTATTTTTGGCACACGGCCGTCATTTTGACCATTGGTCGTGTATCGATGAGGGAAAACTGACAATCAAGATGTCAACGGCGAGGTATGAAACAAGAACCTGAGCCGCTTACCTGAACTTGATTGGAGACGATGCCCACTTCCCCTGTTTCTTTCAAGAGATGCTTACATGCCTCTTCAGTGTGTTCTGCATCAAAGTTGCAGAGCCCGATGTTCAATACAAGGTGAGGGTGAGATTTGGTTATTTTAACCAATTCCACTAGGATCTGAAGATATTCTTTGGCGGTGTACTACGGCAAGATTAACACATTAGTACTTCGTATGCCAGAGTGAAGAGCCGACCTACATCGTACCAATGAAACTAAGAAATTCAAAGAGTGTACAGCTTTCAGGGGAATTACCGACTCACGGACACTTACCTGCAAAAGCTCCACACGTCCTGACAACCGTCGCGC